AATGGACAGACGAGCAAGAGGTCGCGTTTAATGAATTAAAAAAGATCTTAGCTTCTCCCCCTATTATGGGATATCCGGATTTTAAAATCCCTTTTTGCATTCAGACAGATGCTAGTAATTTCGGGATAGGAGCTGTAGTCACTCAAATTCAAGATGGCCAAGAGCGTGTAATCGCTTATGCCAGTCGCATTCTTTCTGATGCGGAGCGTAATTACTCTACAACTGAAAAAGAATGCCTGGCAGTCATCTGGGCAATTAAAAAATTCCGATTCTATTTGGAAGGTTATCACTTTACAGTGATAACCGACCATAGTAGTCTAAGATGGTTAAAAAATCTTAAAAATCCGACCGGAAGATTGGCCCGTTGGTCACTCGAGTTATTAGAGTATGACTTTGAGATATTTCATAGGAAAGGATCGATGCATGATATCCCCGACGCGCTTTCCCGAATGTACGAGGATTCGGAAGAAAATAAAGTCGCGGCTATTGAAGCTATTGACGATGAATGGTATAATAGGCGTCGCGAATCGGTAATTAATGAACCTCACAAATATCACGGGTGGAAAGTAATAAATGATAGGTTATATCGTTACCGACATAATCCTCTGCTCGAAGACCTCATGGATGACCTTAATGCATGGAAGTTGGTAGTTCCGAAGGAAGACCAACTTTTGATTATGCGGGAGGCACATGAAAATCCTCAGGCAGGGCATTTAAGGTGGTCAAAAGACCTATGATAGACTTGCGATAAGATATTTCTGGCCGGGTATGTTCAAAGATGTAGAAAAATTCGTGCGTACTTGCATTACTTGCCAATTAAATAAAACGGAACAATCAAAACCGCGTGGTATAATGGGACAAAGAATAGTACAAGAACCCTGGAGTGTTGTAGCGACTGATATAATGGGTCCGTTCCCCAAGAGTACACGAGGTTTCGAATATTTAATTGTTTTTCAAGATCTATTCACGAAGTGGATAGAAGTAGCACCGCTTCGTACAGCAAATGCTACCACGGTAATAAATTCATTTCGTGAACTGGTAATAAATCGCTGGGGTACACCGCAAGTATTGCATTCGGACAGTGGTACCGAATATCATAATAATGCTATTAAAAGCCTAACTATGGCTTATCAAATACATCATTCATTTAATCCCTTATACCACCCACAGGCGAACCCTGTAGAGAGAACCAATAGGGTTCTCAAAACAATGATACGGTCATTTATCGGCGAAAATCATAGGAACTGGGATATTTTTGTTGGTGATTTTCGTTTCGCTTACAACACGGCGCTGCATAGTACTAATCGCGTAACGCCGGCGTTTCTAAACCTTGGCCGAGAGCCAGTCCCTGTGCGGTCTATGCGTCGTCTTGTGGAGGGGGAAAACGAGTTGCCAGTCGCTGATGTCGCAGAATGGACAACTCGTATGACCAGACTTAATGACTTAAGAGAGAAAATCTGTCAAAATCAGGATCAGGCATTCCTTAAACAAGCGAAATATTATAATCGTAGGCGTCGGGATCTACAGTTCAAAATAGGCGATCTAGTCAAGAAACCTCTACACGTGTTATCTCGGGGGCAGGATAGGTTTGCTAGTAAATTAGCTCCAGCTTTTCATGGTCCGTTTATGATAGTAAAAGTAGTCTCGCTAAATGTATATGAATTGTCCTCGACAGAAGGCAGGTTAGCTGGAAGGTATCATGTTTCCCATCTTCAGCCCTATTATGTGCTTGAGGAGGACATTGAATCGTCTGATTCGGAAGAGGGGCGAATATTAGATCGGGAACTAAACGAAATAATTTGGTCTGATCCTGAACCGGAAATAGAGAATACTGATCAGGAAAATGATCTAGAAGTAGGAAGAGGTCCTGATAGTTCAGGCGAACCCCATCGGCGCAGAAAATTGCGCAATCGTTCATTTTCGTATTAAGTGAAATGAAATTGGCGACCTGTCAGAGGGGTCCATGAGTTAATTCCAGAGAGGATTATAAAATAAATAAAAATGTAAGATGGAGAGAGTTATCAAAAGTTTGACCTTCTAAAACCAAATCTTTGTTGAAATTAGAAAAACTCATAAAAAGATTCTGTAAATAATTTTGTAAATAAAAAAAATATAAATCTTTAATTAAATAACCGTTAATCATCTTAAAAAGACCACTTTTGACCGTTATTTATCTTAATACAATAGAATTGGGAAAACTAGGTCATATTTTTGCTCTACATTACATTGAGATTTTAATCCAGTTAGATTTTGTATAGATGCTGCATGGACCAACTAATTTAATTGGTCCATGACCGCAAAAAAAAATTTAAATGATTAGATGAATTTGTTTTGACATAAATTGAGAATATTAAGTTAACCTCTCTGGATGACTCATGGAAGTTCCATAGTTATAGATGATAAGTGATAATTTGGTCCTTTTTGACAGCTCAAGTAATTCGCCAAGTTATGGGCGAAAGCGAGGAAAATGAGGAGGTGGAATGCCTGGTGGTAGCCAGAAGCTTGTGGCTCAGGGGAAGGGCCCCGTCGGAAGCTTCCGATTTTACGGAGGGAAATTTGGACCAGATGATCCGGCGAATAGCCAGTTCCCCATCGGAGCCATTGTCTTTAGAGGAGGAGGGTCTTCTTCCTAGGCCCGAAAGTCCCCATCAGGCGGAACAGCCTGTACAGGCGGAGCACATTGCTCCTAGTCAAGAAGTTCGGGAGGTTCGGCCCCAGAGATCCAGGGAGTGGTGTATGGAGCAAGTGCGGCAGCAAATTGCTTCAAAAGCCAGGACTCCTGGATACTGGGGCAAGACGGCAGCAAAAGCTGGTCGCTGCGGCTATTGTGTAGGGGAGGGCCATAATTATTTTAATTGCCCGATCCGCATTAACAAAAACAAAAAAAAATAATAATTAATTAAATTGTATAAATTCTTTTTTTTTGTATCACTCTAAACCCTTGTGAGGGAGGGTAAATTACCCCTCACTATTAAATTAATTTTTTTTATAATCCTTTTGTCTTGACGTTATCAACCCGACAAACTGACCAACTCCTCTCCTTCACAATTAAATTATTAAATTAGTTAAACCTAAATCCAAAAAAAAAAAAAAAAAAAAAAAAAAAAAAAAAAAAAAAAAAAAAAAAAAAAAAAAATAGAGAGAAGAAGTAAAAATAATTAATTATTATTAAAATCATTCCATGCCCTCTAAAGTTTGATTCAATGGTTAAAATAGTCGTTCGATGAAAGTTAAATAAAATTTTTTTTTTATTCTCGATGATTAAAACGAACCAAAATTTGAATAATAACAAGTAATACTAGTGAAATTAAAATAAAATAAGAATAAATGATTTTTTTTGAGAGCTGATCTGGCGAGGGGTGGTTCCGAGATCTGGGGCTTACCTGCTCGACCCCATTGGGCCGAGTCTTGGCAGGGGAGAGTTGTGACGTGGCATTTTGCCACACACAATAATTAATATTATTTAATTATTACCCATCAAAATGGGAATCTTCCTTTTTCCTAAAAATAAATAAAATATAAAATTAGACAAAATATATAATTATTTGAATGTATTAATAAAATTAAAATAAAATAATAGATTAAACCTGCCAACTCTTCGAATCACTCTCGTATAATTTTGATTAATAAAATTTTGTATACTCGCGTCCAAAATGTTTTATGTTATCACGAGGTATTTTCGACATCCATTCCTGGTCGCTCATCCTTATGAAGTCAGCAGGGGAAGTACTTCCTGGTGCATATATTTGGATGAGATTCCTGAATATTCAAGAGCACCAGGAAGTCGAAAGAATATTATTTGTTTTGATCCTGTCAATAATGGGGGCAACCATTTTGGATTAGAGGACACCACTACGCCCTCTGGTCGAGTTGCGATCTACTTTACCAGCAACATCGATGAAATTTATCGACGCGCGATATATTGATTATCGACACATAGAAAGTAATTAATTACTTTCACTGGGACTCACCACCAAAAAGAAAGCGTGAAAGGTGACGCCGACTGAAGTCAAAGTTCAGCCATTTTAATTTATTCATTCTCGTTTTGATGGTGATTCAGGCAGCAGGCCACAAAATTTTGTGTAAAGTAAAAATTAATTTAAAAATCCATGTCTGGACGAGGCGGTATACGGGGTCGGCGTCGTATTAACGGTGAGTCCCAGTAATCTAAAAATTTCATTTCTCGCCAGATTGGCAAAATATAAAAGAAAATAATTAGTGAAAAATAAAATGATGTTTGCTTCTCCGCATGGTAGGCGGAATAATTTTGTAAATTCGGCCTTAGGCCGAATACTTTAACTAAATTTTCAATTGTTTTGTTTGCAGAAAAGTGATAAATTAATATTAATAGAGAAAAGATTAAATTTGAAATTAATAAATTATAGTCAATGTAAAATCAGTGAAGTGATTAATGTGTTTTTCTCCTTACCTCCCCCTCTCCGCGGTTTGCTAGGAAACTTTTCTAGCATTTTCTGAACTAGTCCGGTAAAATTTAAAATAAATCAATAATTAATTTTTGTATATTTTTTATATAAAATATTCTGGCGCTAAAAATTATCCCTTTATAAAATAAAAATTACTTAAAAATATATATTAACCTCAAAGTGTAGATAACATTTTTTTCTAAATAATTTTTAATTATAAATAATTAAAATTATAATAATAATTATTAATAAATTAATAATAAATAAAAATAAAAATAGGCAAAAATGTTATAATATATATATATCTTGCAGTAAGCTTACCAGATGATTGCTGCAATGTTAAAAAAAGTTGGCCTAGAAAGTTTGGTGCAAACTTGCAGCAAAGTTACTTGCCATAAGTGAGACATTAGAAGCTTGTGACAATCATGCACGACAAGCTGGAACAGCAAAACATGTGAATATTGCCACCAGCTTGTCGAAAAATTACGTGCTATTTAGGAAGTAAGCTTACATGAGCTCAAAATGAAAAGAAATTTATTTAAATGTTATAATTTTCAACATTTTGTTCTTTTTCAGATATGTTATCAACATAAAGGAGATGTCTGCTATGATAAAGGATGAAATGACTAAACCAATAGATAAAGTAGTATGGAACATAGAACACTTACTTAAATTTCCAAAAGCTCCTTATTTTTCTTATCGAGCAAAAAATATAACTTGGTTAGAATACTATGGCACTATTATAATTATTATTTTCATTACTTTGTCATTATTAACTGTTACATCGTTTGTTAGTGTGAAAATATGCAGACATGTTTTTGCAAAAAAGTTATTGAAGAACATGTTTAAAAAAAAAGTTTTGTAAATCAAATACATATTATGGTACTTTTAATAAGTTATAGGTACTTCATAAATCAATTAACAAATTTTATTTAATCTTTTAATTAAAACGATTAAATATACACTTAAAAATAAAATTTTAACATTGCACTAAAAAATTAAAGAAATCTATTTTATTCAATTATGCATTACCTGTTTATTACATAAAAATTGTTTTTCTCAATTTTAAAAATATTTTAAAAGAACCTTTTTTATGGTATCCACTCATTTTCCCGAAAATATTTACCCGAAAGACATTTTCAGGAAGAGTAAATTTCACGAAAGTCAAAAATCCCTAGCGGATGGGTCCAACGCGTTTTGAACGGAATAGCGTTAGAACACCGTTGGGCACACAACGGTCACTAAAAATGTTAATTAAACAATAAAATATGATAAAGTATTTATTCGTATTTGTAGAAAAAGTGTTTATGAGTAATTTAAGACCTTATTTGTATCAATTTAATACGAAATAAGTGAAATAAAAGATGAAATACAGAGCACTGTTATATTAGGGTATTTTGTCAAATTTTTATGTAATTCAATGAAAAGTGTTTGATATGATTTTTTAATAATAGAAAAACATTGAAAAAGTATTAATTTATTATTTTAAAGCATTTGAAAGGGTTATAAATCACAAAAAAAGATTATTTAAAGAGATGTTTTAAATTTAAGAAATAGTAATTCAATTAATAAAAAAACTGACTTCTAATCTTTAAATCAAATATACCACTCTCTTATTGTAAACACTAATTAATATTGGCTATAATATATTAATATGATGATAATATAGTAGTATGGTATTTCAACATTGATTGTATTATAATTAATAATATAATTGATGTTAATGCTGCTATTATTGATGTTTAATTATTATTATTGATATTGTTATTATTGTTATTTTAATTTAATTTTTAATCACACGCACTGAAGTGATATAGTAGATCCATCAGTTATCAACTCATATGAGCATTATAGATTTTACATCATTAATCATAGCCAGAAATGATAAGGTAGGTTTTTAATTTCTTAACAAATTTAATTTCTATTAAACTTATATTAGTATCCGTTGAAACACTTGACTGGTAGAACACATATCGACACATAAACATCATAACACATAATTTGAATTATGTTTGGTTTCACGGAAGCATTCCCTTTTTGGGAAAATTATTTTTCTAATACAATTTTTTATTATTTTTGCTTCCTCGTGGAGGAAGCTTTGTAGTCCTTTCGTTTATAAAACTTTTCAAAGTGGTGGAAACAAATTTTTTTCTTTATAGAAACATGTTATATGAGATCCTGATCAATTGTCCGGATGTATGTATGTGTGTGTGTATGTGTGTGTGTGTGTATGGATCCCTTTTTTGTTTAGAAGATAACTTTAACAGGTTTTAATGGATTTAGATAAAATTTGGTAGGCTCATTTATCATATTAATATCTCAAATCTGACCACAGGATTTTGAAAAATACCCAAAAAAAAAAATTTTATCGTCTTTTTTCAAAAAATTTTTTTTTAATCGAAAAAATTTTTAAATAGGAAAATTTAAGGTTATATATAATAAAATCGTATTCCTTACGTCAAGACGAATCGATCGATATATATAAAGTATATATTTGAGGTAAATTTAAAGAATTAATGAAAGTTAAAAAATCAAAAATTCACATTTTGGCTATAAAATTTTGTGATTTTTTAAATTGAAGTTTATATATGAAATAATTGTATTTCTTACGTCAAGACGAATCGATCGATATATATAAAGTATACATTTGAGGTAAATTTAAAGAATTAATGAAAGTTAAAAAATCAAAAATTCACATTTTGGCTATAAAATTTTGTGATTTTTTAAATTGAAGTTTATATATGAAATAATTGTATTCCTTACGTCAAGACGAATCGATCGATATATATAAAGTATACATTTGAGGTAAATTTAAAGAATTAATGAAAGTTAAAAAATCAAAAATTCACATTTTGGCAATAAAATTTTGCTTTCTCCACGAGGAAGCAAATTTTTTTGCTGATCGTAAAGAGGAAGCAAAATGTTCATGAAATGAACATCTGAATTTACAACTTGTTTTGTTTAAAATTATTAAATGAGGGTGGAAATCCATATTGGTGAGTTTGAGGTTATGTTTATCAATTTAATAAAATTTTATTTTTATAACAAACTCAAAAAATGTAAATTTAATTTCAGTATTTAATTCTGATGACGCCCGACGTTGACGGGCGAAAGCTCATTTAATTAAGAATTTTAAAAATAAAATGTGGATTTTTACCAAAAACAACTAACATCTTGACTAAATTATGTAAATCCAAAAAAATTATCATCTATACTAATTATTTCTTTATAAAAAGTATTAAAAATTTTCTTAAAAATATGTTTACTATTATAATGTTCTTCATTATTATAATTTAAACATGTTCTTTATAACGTAGTTTACAGAAAAAGTCAATCATTTTTATATGTTAGAAACAGAAGTTACTGGCTATTAGTGTTATATTATAATTTTTTGTAATATAGCTATTATTTGTACTTTATTTACAAACACTAAAACTATATTATTATAATAATTTAATAATTATATTATATTTAAAACAATAAAATCAATGAAATTAAACCATGGAAAGTTAGCCTATATTGATAAATAATTCATTAATTACCCATGAAATGAGTTGTGATTAGAATTGCTCGAATGTTGTTACTTGGGGGTTTTCAGGATCACTGATTAGGAATATGATATTTGCTTCTAAAAATCCAAAACAGTTTTTAGTAAATAACATTTTTAACATGTTTAGGTGAAGTTCTGAAAGCGCTTCACCTCCGATCTTAATGAAACTTGGTACACTAACGTATTTTTGTGCCCTGATTACGAAAATGGTAGTGAAAATTGGCGCAAATGTTATTATCATGGAAAAAAACCATAAAATCATGGTTTTTGCGATTATCTCGTAAAAAACGCAAAATTTCGAAAAATGTTTCAAATAAGAGTTGTATGTCTCAAAAAACACACATTTTATGTTTTTATACATTTTTTACCAAAAGTCGTTATTTTTCGAGAAAATTCCAAAAAACCATAAACATCATGAAAAATTACGGAAAATACCGTGCACATCATAACTAGAGGGAAAATTAAGACTTGTAAGTAAATAACCGCGTCATCAAATTGCGTAAACTACTACTGTGGATCCCACCGACTTTGTCCGCAGAATACTTTCGGCCATATCCTTCCCCCCTCGCTAAGGTGTTTTTAAAATATGCTGACAAGTGAATTCTATTATCAAAGTATGTTATTAAAATTTACGAGAAGTAAATTTCACTACAATACAAGAATAATTAAATTTTTAGGTACAACCGTGACAATAATAATAAATGTTTGATGAAATTATTATCGGAAATTGAGATTTTACTTACAATTAGAGAGATTAATTCATATGCTAAAGCTTTTAAAATGTTGCGAGATTTTGAGATTAAAGAAGAAGAACAAGCTAAATAATCAAATAACTCTGTAAGAAATATTGAAATGTGGATTAAACGCGACCGGTTATTAGATCACAACAAGTTTAATGTTCCATCTTGTAATAAAGTAGCAATTGTATTTGTTAGCAAAGATGGTGAACCTGCTATTGAACGCGATATATGTACACATCCTAAAGATTCCAAAAGTATTCCAATTTCCAGCCTCAGTGCGAATCTTGACACTATGACTTATCCTTTAATGTTTGCTTCAGGTGATCAAGGAGGGACTGTAAACATAAAACAAACTCAAGGCATTCGCAATATTACTGCCTTACAATATTACATGTTTCGTCTTTCATATAGAGGAGCATTTAATCCATGTTTAGCATTAGGGACATTAACTCAGCAATATGTAGTTGATGTCTGGTCGAAAGTAGAGGGCGAGCGTTTAAAATATATTCGTTTACAACAAAAAAAACTTCGAACAGAATTGTATTGTGGATTAATGGATTTTATTAATAATAAATCAAAAGAAGAGAATGTTAGACCAGGAAAAATGATCATTTTACCTTCAACATTTAATGGAAAAATTAAGCAAAATTGGAATATTTCCATCGGCCTTCACACTTCCAACGCCACAAATTTTAAGTTTAGGGGTACGGAACCGTCGGTTTTAATGCGGGTGTAACTCGAACTTATCCGAATTTTTTACTCTAATATACATAAATGTTAATCTTACCCCAATTCCAATGAGTATGTTTGATCTTGCTCCAAAGATCGACGTTACTAACATCATTACATCACAAGGTAAAATGTCTAACAAATTAAGAAATTGCTATAACTCGTATAAAATCAAGCTGCTCAATAAGAAAGTAGCAGCTCGCTTTCATACAAGTACTATACATCCCAATATACTGCTTTTCTTTCTCATTCATAAAATATGCGCGCTGTAGAGCGCATATTTTGCTAGTTATAAATAGAAAATAATAAATATATTCTTTATTCAAAACAGAAAATAATACTTTTCTTTTATATTATAAAATAATTAAAACATTATTAATAACAACTTAATATTTAAAGATAAAAAACAATTAATAATTGAAAATTTTATTAAAATTATTAAATTATTTTAAGATATGGGAAAGGTTTAGAGATGCACGACGAGCGAGACGAGCGAGAAATGTCTATAAACGAGAATAATTCTCGGCTCCTGATAACGATTCTCGTTCGCGACCTAAAAGACGAGATTGTAATATGTCGAGAATCTCGTATTTTCTCGTTCAATTCTCGTTTTTAAAAACTTTATTCTAGTTCTTTAAAAGAGAAAAATTCAAAAACCATAATGAGAAAAATATGCTATTAACTCAATAGCCTTTTCGTCAAAAATACAAAAACTATTGATTCAAATGCATTATATTATTGAAATGGTAAAATATGATATAACTTCTATAGCTTATGCTTTTGAATTAATTATTTTTATAGTTTTAATGGAAGTGCTTTTGATTCAATATCATATTTTTCACTGCAGTAATTAATAAGATTTAGGGTTGAATAGTAAATCCTCAGTAAGAATATTATGAATTTAACAATTAGAAAAAATATTTTTAA